CGAGTCGGAGTTCAAATATGACACTCTACTCCCGCCGCTGTGCGAGACGACGACGAGGATGAATGTGAGCTGAAAGGTCTTGCTTTCAACGTTCATGCGACTCATTCGCACAGAATCTTCTTCGTACTTTGACAGAAAGCCGGCTGCAGACCGCTCCAGATGCCAATCTCAAGCTTCTGCTCACCACTGTCAAGGAAGGCCGAGTGAGCATTCACCTCACTTTTTGGATGGACATGTTGACAGAGTTTCAGCGCCAGAGCCACGATGCAAAGCTAGCAGACCCCTTCTACGAGTCCTTGGAAGGCCTGTTGCACGACCTACGCACAATCACTATTGTACGTGACCATGTCTCACCGGCATCGCGTGTTGACGAGCCACTCGCAGGATAATCGCGACGCCGAGGCATTCCTGCGCCCAGTGAACAGGTCTGAGGTACCAGACTACTATGACGGTGCGTGCCACCCCAGCTATCATATCTCTTACAGTTTCCTAATTGGGGTGCAGTCATATCGACGCCTATGGACCTGCAGACGATGCTCCGGAAGGTGAAGCAAAAGACGTACAAGTCGAAACGCGAGTTTAAAGACGACCTGGATCTGATATGGTCCAACTGCCGCACGTACAACGCAGCAGAGAACCATCCTCTCCAGCTATGTGCGAGGCGCCTCCAGGCAAAGGCGGAACGTCTGCTGAAGAACATAACGGACCGGAAAGAGCGCACTGACCCTACGATACCATCTGAACTGCCGATGCGATCGAAGCTTAACGGCGTGAACGGATATTCCAAGTACCGATCACCATCGTACCGTGCTGAGACTCCCCGTACAACACCTTCAACACACAAGAGGCACTCTCTGAAAGGTGTCCCGTTTGCCGAGTCCCCCGCTATTGTCCGCACGCCAGAGAGCATGGCTACGTTTGCGCGGCTGGACACAGACCTCGACTCGCAGGACGCAACTAAGCAATCTGCCGCCGTCGAGCAAATACGTGAATACGCGTCATGCTCACGCCTCGGCGGCGACTCCCGCGAGGATGATTTTCACCCTATGGATATTGACGAAATCGGCGATAAACGCAAACTGTATGTCTCCCATGTTGTCCGTTCGATTGCTGCACCTTACATATCTACAGCAATGGTGTCGACCATCGGCCTCGGAAACGCACACGATTTACTTCCCCTCCATTAGATACTGACGATATTACTCACTTATGGTGGAAAGCCGCGCATTCGGACGAATTGCTCGGTAGCGGTCTGCCCTCCATCCCATTCCCCTCATCCTACTCTCTGCGCAAGGCCAAGCCCTCCATTGCGTCTGGTGAACCGCCCTCGTCGCCTACAGCCAAGCGAAGAGGGCGTCGGAAAATTGAGCCCGACCCGCCGCCTCCTGCCCCTCCTAAAGCGCTGTTAACACTGATGAACAACAACATACGCACGATGCGGCGGGTGCGCCAGATACACAGCAAATTTGCTGCGCTAAACATTAATACTTCGAATAACGAAGACGGAGATGGTGTAGGAGCCGATGGGCCTCTATTCACCATCGGTTCTGGTCCGGGGAGTGGAGGTGGTGGGGTGATTGAAGAGGATCTGGGCGCCGTAGGGGGTGTTGATGTCGATCAAATTGACGAGCAGCCGTGGCTAGCCCGCATGCGGGGGCGGCGGAAGGTGAAAGGGGGCGTCGAGATGGGCGAGTGCAGCGCGACCGACTGCTTGAAGTGGACATGCAGTAAGGTCTTAGAACATTCGGGGTTTCAAGGTGCGTCTGACTGGTGGCTGGTCGTTGTGTGTAGCTGGAACTCGATTTACATTATAGGCACCTCGCGGGAGGCGCTGGACGTACTGGTTGGCGTTACGGCGGAGTACTTCTCGAACGTTGGTCGTACTATGCGCTTTCTTACTGATAAACACGCCCATACCATGCTCCCAGAGGTAGCTATTCTCTTTACTCTCAGTCAGAAGTTGCTTATCGAGTATCGTAGGAAATTATCCTCCACACGCTATTCGAGAGCGGTACTTCGCAAGTACAAGACCTTGAACGGTATATTTCGGATGATATTGAGCGCTATGGTGCTCGTATCACAGATTTGGAGAAGAAGCTCGATGGGGCGTTTCGCGAAGTTGTGAGTGCGCTCTGCTTGTGAAGTTTCTACTTACTCACGAGTACGCAGACTGCTGCTGATCAGCAGGAAGATGAGGGGCTATTCGAAGAGGATGAGGAAGACGGTGGTGCTCTTGTACTGTACGTGTGCTGATGACTGTCATGGACAAACGTAATTGACTCGTTTGACAGCGGAAACTTTGCCGACGCCTTTGGAGAGGATTTTCTGGGTCTTCGGGAGCTCGGTATCGCTGCAGAACACAATCTCTCAAGTCTCACCATCCCAAAACGACTCCTCAAAGGGAAGAAGGGGGATGGCAAATCCAATGCGTCTTCGTACGTTCTCTCTGTCTTAGCAATACCATACGCTCACATACTCAACTTTCTTCCTATCAGCGCGAAACCCACCGAACCTCCTCCGCCCTTCCCTCCTCCACCACCTTTCATCCCCCTCGATTCCACCAAAGTCGAGAGCCAAATCGGACTACTCAAACCGTACTACCAATCTCGTATCTCGTCGCTCTCTACAACCACATTTATACCTCCACTCCCTGGACCTGTGCCCCTCCCCCTGGGCTACCCCGCATCCGCTACACCGTATGGGCTTCCACCGCTCGGCGCCCCACCCGAACCCCAGCCTCTAGCTGTCATCACGCTCCCCGACGACCTCCCTGCGCTCGCGCAGACCAAGATGGGCCCACTCGGACAGATCCTCAAAGCCGGTCCCGCGGCGGGATCGTCCAAGAAAAAGGGCAAGTCCGCAAATGCTAACGCTAATGCTAATAATGTTGTGGCCGCGAATGGTATGATGAAGATCGAGGGCGAGGAGGCCCTTGTCAATGGTACCCCTCCGGGTGAGATTGCTGCTGCTGCTGCGCCTGCGCCCAAGAAGAAGAAAGGCGTGCTGGGCGTGGGGTCGGGCAATGGGAGGAAGAAGAAGTTTGGGCCGGATGGTCAGCCTCTGGGAGGAGATGGCGCTGGCGGGCAAGGAGGTGCGCCCATGCCACTGCCGGCTGTTACGGCCAGCGCATGATATCATTATTGTATTCGGACTGTTGTTCATGTTAGTTAAGTAGATAGTTTTATCTCATTTATTAGGTGGAGGGTTCGCCTATGTGGATAAATGGCTAACACCGTCGAGCGGCATATTCGCGAGAGCGGAAAGGTTACATCGGTTTATCAGGGATTACAGACATCAGAAACGCATTACATTGGCAGTGAGTGTCCACCTTTGGGTTTGACTAACTTAGGGGAGGGAGAGCACAGTTTGCTGTGGCAGAGATAACCGTTGAGAAACAGGTTGACGCGGGGAGCGAGGCGGACGTACCATGAACTGCTCGTAACTCATTTGAACCCATCCACTGCGCTGGGTGTCCAGACGCTGGAAGGACTCCGTCAGTTGCTTAATCACAACGCACGCGCGGACGAAGCGGTCAAAGGAGATGCCAGGCTGCGGTTGACCAGGTCTAACAACACCAGATGCTTTAATATCTGACCCAGATACGGGCGAATCTGTAAGTATTTCACATCCTGTGCGGGAGAGATTGGGGAGGTGCACGCACCATATTTCCTCTGGACTTGGTCGAGGATTTGGGGGGAGAGATTGTAGCTATGGGCGGGTGGTGAGTACAGGGTTTGATTGGTAGGGGAATTGGGGCGACATACCCGAACTGCGAGAGGGCGGCGTGGAGTTCTTGACCGTCGATTGAGCCTGATCGGTCGCGATCAAAGTGTCTGAAGACACCTTGCCAGTCCTGTATAACCTCCGTCAGTGCCAGTAGCGACAACAACACGCCAAAGAACCTGCCTTGATGTATTTCCACAGACCGGCGAATTCGTTGAATCCGATCGTGCCGCTGCGATCAGTGTCCTATTATAACGATATTAGATGGTGATATTGATTGCATAAGGTTAAAACGTACAAAGATCGACATGAGGAGCTTCACGGTGTCAAGATCGAAAGCTATAGATGGCGATTGAGTGTGGCGTTCATACTCAACCCACCAATGACTTACGAGTCCAATCGCCATTAATCAGTGCGCGCTCTGGGAAAGACCACCATGAGTACATCCAAGGAGCTCCGCAAACTGAGTGCAAGACACCAACCCAACTCCTGAGCGGAAATATGTCCAGATCTGTCGGTGTCAACGGTTGAAAACCATTGCCAGAGTCTTCAGGTGTCGGCGTCAGGGGCTACACACATTGCGAGATGATTGTGAACAACGCACTGAGGGTCTGCGCCAGGAGGGGGGCCTTGAGGAGGGGGCTGTTGGAAGCCTCCACCGTAGCCAGAGGGGGCGCCATAACCTCCTGGGGCGCCTCCCCCATACCCACCTCCTCCATATCCTCCTCCTGCAGGTGGTGCTCCGTACTGTGGTCAAGGCATGGCCCTGTCAGGGATCGCAACGAGGTAACGGGCACAAGGACTCACGTTGTACGACATTGGTTCAGAAATCAGTCAGTCGGGCCTAATCTGAACTTGGAGATTATATACTGGATCAAGCACTGCAATCTATGATAACATCATGGTCTCGGCTACCCCCGACACCGCCAAAAGGCTATATCTGCGTACACTGCCGCCTGCTGCCGCCCGCGGAATTGGCTGAAATTCACCCCTTTTCCCATCCAAAAAGGGGCAGCTCCTCCTCGAAATTCTTTCACGGTGACAAAAACAAAAGATTTGACGAGAGTGGGATTCGAACCCACGCCCCGAAAGACCAGATTGAGTGCTCATCGAATGAGCTGATCCTTAGTCTGGCGCCTTAGACCGCTCGGCCATCTCGCCCTTGTATTGTTGCATCATAACAACAGCTCTGGGGGTGACTAAGTTTGAAGTTCAAATTTGCAAAGAAAAATCATGACCAGAGGGGTTAAAAACACACAGAGCACGTATCCAAAATATTCCGACACGGGGAATCGAACCCCGAGCTGCCGCGTCCATCTGAGCCGTGAAAGGCGGCAATGTTAGCCGTTACACCATATCGGAAGGTATCAGGGAATGACCCCGTTGACAATGTAGCTGGAGTTTGTCACTTAAATTTATGGGGCAGACCTGGTTCTTGAGCTTGAGCTTGAGAGCTTGGGGGTTCGAGAATACCTAGAAGATTCAAATATACGCAGTGCGTCGGGTTAGGTCGCTCAAAGGTGTTTTGCTGCTGGCTTATTACTTGCCACATGTATTTTCGAATTTCGTAGTCATTCCTCCTCATCGAACTTCGTTTCTCCAATGCTACGTCCGAGAGGCGACAAACGAGATGTAAAATCATGAACCGGAGCTTCACGGTCATATTGGTAGCATAGTATTCAGGCCAAAACCCGATCCCGCGTTGCCGCTGAAGCTTGTTTTCCCTCGACCCGTATCGCAGACCGTGGCGGTGCTGATATGCAGGACTCAATAGATTCGAGATCAATGATAATCTCTGAGTCGAGTCTTTCGCCAAGCGCAGTTGGCTACTTTGGGGAACATCTTTCTGCCATCAAACTTACTTTTGACTTACTTCCTGCGACAACGTCCATGAGGACTTTCCATGTCCTTGGTCTTCCGGGCTCCTTGCCGACATCCAATAAGAGGTTTAAGAGCGTACACGTTTTCAGGGGGATAACCAAACGAATTGGCATGTGGAGTCGCCTACGGGGGCGATTAACGCAAGCCTGGAAATAATTTACATACATGGGCGGCGAAGGGTGTACGGTCCAGGGCACGCGAAGTACACGCCAGCCTATCCGAATGATGCTATCCAAATGAGCGTAAGAGTTCTCTATCGCTTTTAACAGATGCTCGATACTTAAGGCAACAGCGTGAACCCAGGTTCACCGTTTTCTAGACCTACTCAAGCTATGCACAATTACGAGCGAATGGAAGGCGCGCAAGAACTCATGGTATCCATTGCCAGCTGTGAGCCCAAAGCTTTCTATACATCTCCTAAGATCTGACGCGTCCATGGCTAGTCTTTGTCGGAATGTTGTCAATCCAATGTTGGAACTATTTTCGGAGCGACAAGAATGATGGAATAATAGTAAGAACTCTTGTAAGTAGGAGAGGGCTGCCGGGCTGTCCTGACTCTTTCATATGTTTACTCTGTGTATAGGTCGCCGTGCTCTGGCAAGATATATCTTACCAGAATTTGGCCCCTTCGGATGCTGAGACAGAACATAGGACCTTGGAAGTAGCAGGAATGGCTTCACGATGGCTCGGGTTCTACGCCGGGGCAGGAAGCCAACGCCAAAGGCAGGGTCACAATCAGGATCCTGCCTTCGTGCTTGTTCCTGGAATCTTGAACAGTTTCACTGGACCGTTGGTTCAAGTGGGTCCGCCTGTCTTCGAAACCTCTACCAGCACTAACGATACACGTTCCACCACCTCAAGGCTTACTACATCTTTAGAATATTCCGTCTCTCGAGCTCTCGTGCTGCACCTTACTTGTGTTGGCTTGCGACGTTCGCGAGTTTTGCGATACAACTGGCTACGTCGATCGGTCTCACGCAAACCAAGAGTGTTAATGACCAGTGGAAGCTTCGATGGGATTCCTGTTATATTGCAAGCATGGCTCTTTCTGCAGGGATTGACCTGGCAATCACCGTGATCCTCTGCTATCTCCTATATCGCCGCAAAGACCATGATCAGACTACAAGGTTGGTTTCAGAATCTCGGTGCTGTTGAATAACGCCCAAAATTGTGTTCATTTGATCAGATGCGGGAAATTACTTGATCAATTGATTGTCTGGACCATTCGTACGGACTTCAGGTTTGTCATTCAACCTAAGTGCTGAAATTGCATGCAGAAACAGGACTCATAACAAGGTACGACACCATTCCAACAACGTACTTTGTTGGATTCAAACATGGTCCTCCCGGATAACAAGCATTGTTGCGTGTGCTGGGCTAATCGTGGTGTGTTCTTCCCTTTACGAAGAATCAGATCGCCAACTAACGTCAAGTCCAGTTTGTAGCTGCTTGGAACAGCTGTCAGTGAGACTGACCATATCCTTTGCGTCAAGGAGAACTCATGGGTCTTGTGCCAGATTCATGGATATACCTCACTGGTATGTTATCACGTCGTAAGCGGTCATTCTTCCTCGTGTTGTAAATCCCAATCATCGATCTACGTAGTTCATCCCATGACGATGCTCGCAACGTAAGTCGGCTTCGACGCCTCTTTCGTCAGCCTTGAACCTGATGTGGCAAAAGCTTAAACGCTAGGCCCATGTTCCAACGAACAGCGGACGACTCGATGACGGTTAATATAGCTACTGGGCTGGCCATTCGAGTCCCTCCGGTGAGCCTAATGCACCCCCCTCGATATCTCATCGTATCGTTGATCAGAGATACAGCGGGAGTGGGCTCACGGGCAGAGCTTCTTAGCACCTCAAACGACAGGAGCATCACCTCCACCAGAAAATGAAGTCGTGACATTGAAAGAGCAGCTTGGGGTTTAACATATCACCAGCCCTCAGCTTTCGTTCTAATCAGCTGGCACTATTATTGCCTTCGCGCACTCACGCAATTCTAGAGATCTCGGATACGTCTACGCGTACTCTTCAATCACGCTTCGCGGCTCTTTGTACTCGCCTACGGATATATATGGAACATCGTCCAGACTGATTGTGGCGTTAGAGTAATCTCCATCCTATGATATCTATACTCACCCAAAAGCTTTTGGACCCCCTCCATTGAGTCCCGCCTCGGTTTTCGACCATTTCTCATCTCCAGCAAGAGCAATGACCGTGACACGTAGACCATATCTATATTCTGGGGTTCCCAGTGCAACACCTTTCTGAGAATCCAGGACAGTGATTAAATCCGGTACGGTCGCGACCACCTATAGTAAACATGAAGTTAGAACGATATCGGCAACTGTAGTAGTGATAAATGGGACTATATGCCTTCTTCGCTTCAGAACCAGATGTCTCGACGTATGCGTAAATGTTCTCGTTCTGAAAAGGAATAACTAGTCTGGCGTTGGGGCCGTAGGTACTTTGATAGGTTGAAACCACTCCATTGTATTCAAGCTCGTCGTTAGAGAGTGGAGCGACCACGAGTTCACCCCACGTAAAGCCTTTGCGTACCTCCTATGACAGTGTCAGTATTCAATACCCAGGGCTTGTGCCAATGAGAATAATATAAGTCTTACCCTTCGTACATCTACAATCTTTCCAGCAAACAAACAAACCCCATTCTGTAGCTCCAAGAGACCAGTGACTACATCTCGTATGTTACTTTTCTGGCGACACAGCGCCACCGCGCGTCCCATTCTCCAAGCCTGTGACACCGTGTGCGCGACACCTACAATCGGGATTTATATCCTGCCGCGTCGGAAGCATGTCCCACGCACCATATTTCTGGCAAACCTGCCGTGTCAGAGGTGGGAACGTTACTGCAGCCTTGCTCCCCATCTCCGTGCAAGCCCCACGAAGGACTGCCTCTACCACCGCCCCATCCCTTGCTCCGCTCATGACCTTCATATTAGGGAAATTAAACTCAACAACAGGGCTTGGAAAGACGCATAACTCACTATAGCATTGCCCACTCCATCAGCAAGTGCGACAGGAAATAGCCCATTCTCAACACCAAAGACTCCGGGAAGAGATTGCCACATCTGGTTTCATAAATGAGGAAGAAATTCGTGTGCCATAAGTATGTCCAGAACAAACATGTGGATAGGCCCTTCCCATCAAGTCCGCTGGGAAGCGTCAATGAATCTTGGGTAGAGGGGGATAGGTCATTCCACATACCATCTATCGTGACTTTACCTAGCATTCCAGACATGATCAATGGCTGGATACCATTTCCTCCGCCTATCTCATCACTAATTGTCCCGAAGAAATCATTGAAACCCATAAATTTCTGCAATGCTTGCATTGCAGCGGGGATCTCGACACCGCCTTGGATACGCTCGCTCTACCCAAATCATTAATGTCGGGATGAAGTCAAATGGCAATTCGACTTGTACTGACTGAAACGCTCGGTGAGCCCATGAAGCAGCATCTGGCGAATAACGAATCTTGAGGTACATTCTTTGCGTCGACCACTAGTATCGGTTTCCCCTCGCGAAGCAGTTGCCTGGCCATCAGAAACGCTGGATACGAAGGACCGCCGCCGCCAGCCCCAAGTATGTTGCATCCCTCCCCGATCCACTCTATTTGGGTGTCCTATTAGAGATGGCTCAACACGTAACGAGGAGACTTTATTCACCAAGGTCAATTTCTGACAAGACCCAAACCTTGTCCGTCCGAATAGTTGGGCGATATGCATCAACGTCGACAGGGGCGTCAGGGGCTTCGACAAGTTCGTCAACAAGTTTCCCTGCCTCATTAATTGCCTCTTCTTCATAACTACGCTCAGATACCACATCTTCAAGGATATGTGCGGGTGATGGGGATAAGTCGCCAGCCGCTTTGATGATCACGCGGGTTGACTGATTGGTGACATAGTTCACTGGGAGATTGTTAACCTCGACAATTCGTGTAGATGCTATACAATGTAAGATGTCTGATGGGGTTTGAGGGAATTAAATCTTACACGGGTCGGCACCAGCTACAATTGCGCGCTCGATCGCTTTCGATTTCAAGTCGTCCATGATTTCGCGCAGTGGCTTTTGCTTTATCTCGACAATGGTGTCGATTTCAAAGGATACTGCAATGAAGTCAGCGACTTTACGCAATATGGGCAGCTAGAAGTACCTTTGGCCATGGCTGCTCCAACAGCATTTGCAACATCGAAAAATGGGGGGCGAATAATCTGCGATACCCCACTTAACCTATCAGGCGCAATAATCCCTCCTCCGCCAACCAACAAAACATCGATGGCCTCAGGGGACACTTTCATCCTAACCGGGAGTAAGAGCTATCAGTAGATGCGGTGGCGCCGAAAGTACCCTTTCGTTTACCTATCAATTATGCGTTCGATATGCTTGTTGATACTATCGATGCTCTTCTCGACGAGAGTGCGATCCAGATGGGACACCATTGATGGATCTCCTACCTTCGCCTTTCCAGCAGCAACCATTATATCGGTTGAAGTCAGCACGTTCCCGCCAAAAACCATACCCTCCGTCTGTATCTGATGGCCAACAGAATCGGGTCCAACGAGAACGGCTCCAGCGTCAGTCTGACGTATCTTCGAACCACCTCCCAGAGCGATGGATTGAACGTCAGCCATTGCAAAATTAGTACGTACTCCGGCGATTTCGATATACGAAGCGGCTTGTCGAGGATATCCGGTGGGTAAGAGGACTCCAACATCCGTAGTTGTTCCACCCACGTCAATAACAATGGTTGACTGACCCAATCCTTGCTGACGGTCAAGTCCTGCGAGGAACGAAGCGCCGCGCATGCTATTTGTGGGGCCGGATGCGAACGTTCTGACGGGAAGCTGCGCCGCTTTCGCTGCGGTCGTGAGGCTACCGTCGTTTTGGGTAATATAAACCGGTGCAGCGATACCGAGTGTGAGCATGGCTCGAGTAATTCCTCTGATCGTACGCCGGGCATATGGGAGGATGGATGCGTTGAGAATCGACGCGTTTTCGCGTTCTATTAGGCCCAGTTGACCGACTGAGTGCCCAAACATAAGTCAGTGATATAGTATTAGCTCTCGGCAGCGGCTCACCATCGCGGGAGCACACTACATTGACCGTGTGTCCTAATATCCTGATAACGGTGTCTCGCACCGCGTACTCGTTGGCGCCATCGTTGTCCAAAGGGGAAAATACACCAGAGAGCACTATGTTGGATAGCCCTTTTGCCTTTATGACCTCACATTGCTCTTGGATTTGTCCTTCAGATATTGGTGCTATTGGCCTGCCATCAACTAGGCAAATCTCATTCAGTAGAAAGCAAGGCGGGAGATACCCTCATACTTTCTATGCCACCGTCAATGTAACCAACATGTCCCTCCATAAGTCGCTTTAGCCGATAAGGAAAATCAATAAACGGTGGCGCCTGTCGAGTGTACGGCCCACATATCCGGATTACTGCTACCTTGCACAGTCTTCGAGGATCAGCTTCCAGCACGGCGTTGATAAACGCCGTGGTGCCAATGCTCACGCACGCGACGTCTGATGGATCCGTGGTACTCGACTGGAGAACTCGTCGAATAACTGCCTCGATGCCCTCTGACACATTTGATGAAGTGGGAGCCTTAGTGAAGGCCAGAATTCCGCGGCTCTGCTCAGCCGCACGAGTTGGGTCGATGAGGACGCCGTCTGTATTCGTTCCTGTACGGCGTTGGCATGACCTCGCTCAATGACCGCGGCGTAGTACATCGCGAACACTCACCTCCTACATCCACTCCGATACGGTACTTCATAGTGAGATAACGAACCAGTATCTTGCGAATGTGGCATCCCACAACACGATATTAATACATCGACGCGTGAGCCTGATGTCAGTTTTGAGCCATTATTTCGCACACAACCCTAGAAAAGCCTGGATAAGTAAATGTTTACACACAAGGTGTCCAGTGGAATAACGACGGCGTAAAGGTTGGCCATGCAAGAAACATATGAATAAGGAATAATACGGACACATCAAGTAGGTAACTTACAAGCGACGATTCCTGAGCTTGGTATGCGCAATTCCCCAGTACAAATAGATATCGTTGTCATCTTCGAAGCCGAGCCAGCTACGGGCCGCTTATGGAGAGCTCTGAATGTCGACTTGAAATCTCTAGGATCTGTCCGATTCGTGAAAGCAAAACATGACCACTACTGCGGTGTTGGCACTAGACCAACTTCAGCGTCAGCAGAAACCTTCAATGCTGATTGGAGCTTGGGAGGAAACAAGTCCGACACGGCAAGATATTCAATGCCCCGAGCACACGTGATTATCCTCGCAAGTCCGCCCCCCGCGTCGAGATTCAGAATGCTAAGTTGAGCCCGTCTTTATCCTCTGCATCCACCATGAGTATCGTTGCACACAATATTCGCAGAATCGGCGTCATGGGCGCGGGGCAGATGGGGACGGGTATCGCCCTCGTCTCCGCTCTCCGGGCCAAGGTTCCGGTGCTTTTATATGATCGCTCACCAGAGCAGACGACGAAGGGGCTAGCTTTTGTCGACAAGTTGTTGGAGAAGGACGTGAACAAGGGGCGAATCCAAAGCATAGATGCTAAGGAGGCCAAGGACCGCATCCAGGTCGTCGGGCATGAAGAAGGGATCAAAGGCATGCGGGATGTGGATATGGTCATTGAGGTATAGCCCGTCGTTTCACAGAGGGTCTTGTAGAGATATATACTGACTGAGGTCGATGGCGTAGGCTGTATCGGAATCTCTGCCCTTAAAGCAGGCCATATTCGCGTCGTTGGCTGCTGAAATCAACCCCAATGCCATTCTCGCGACAAATACCAGTTCCATAAGTATCACCAAAATTGCTGCCTCCGCTGTTCCGAAAGATGTTAGTGCGGCAAGCGAAGAGGGCAAGAAGATTGCTGGACGCGTTGTCGGTATGCCACAGTGCATTGCGTGCTGGCAAGAGTGAACAGAGGCTAACGGTTGCGTCCCGGATCATAGGTCTTCATTTCTTCAATCCCGTTCCAGTCATGGTAAGCCTTCTGAATGCATATGAGGTGCATAAATGAACAAACTATTGCAGAAATTGGTTGAACTCATATCGGCTCTACAAACGACGCCGGATGTACTCAACCGTGCACGATCCTTTGCTGTGGCCTGCGGCAAAGGTTCGTTCTAGTATATTGCATCCGTTGAATATTGATTTTAGTACGGTTGTAGAGGTGACAACGTCTAAGGATGTCCCCGGATTCGTCTCGAATGCCCTTCTCATGCCATTTATCAACGAGGTTCGCGTCGCGTTCCTAACTGTTTAGACCGTACTCTGACCTCTTCTGAATTCAAGGCTATTATGTGTCTGGAAAAGGCAAGTGTCGCTACCAAAATGAACTGTACTCATCGTTGATTGGAAATATGTGGTACAGGGCACCGCAACGAAAGAAGACATCGACACTACCCTCAAACTTGGAATGAATCACCCCATGGGTCCCTTACAATTAGGTACGCCTTTGGCTCCTCTCCTGATGTCCGCTTCAGGTTCACTCACTCCTGTGTGCAGCTGATTTGTACGTTTACTAGAGGTGACATTTGACCCCGAAAACTAACCGTTACTTTCCTCGACAGCATCGGGCTGGACACCTGCCTCGCCATCCAGCAGACGCTCTACGAAGGTACCCGAGATTCGAAATACCGACCTAGCATCCTTCTGGAACGAATGGTGGACGCTCAGTGGTATGGAAAGAAAAACGGAAAGGGCTTCTATGAGTATTAGACTCCAGATGCCAGCATAGTTTCTTTGGTCTGTGGTCTGTGGTGGACTGGTGATAAGATAATAGATACGCTGGAAGATCAATACCATGAGTGGCGTACGTATAGACTCTATCTAGATCGAGGGCTGTCATCAATCCGATATGGTGTAACGGCTAACATTGCCGCCTTTCATGTGATCGCGGCAGCTCGGGGTTCGATTCCCCGTGTCGGAACTTTTTTGACCTTCTACACCAGGCCATACCAATGTCGATATCACCACATTGCTTTCGAACGCGCATCCAATTTGAGCAAACGTCTCTTTGATAATTGCGCCAACGAAGTTGTGGTCAAGGCGAAGTAAAGGTAGGAACATGAGTACATAAGTGCAGAATTAGCTTGAATAGTAGTACTACTTATAAACCAGGTGCGTAGGAGGGAGCTGCATTACATACACCAATAGTTAAGTAATAGCTGGAGCAACGAATCTCATACATTGGAACGCGCGCGTGGCAAAAATATTAATACATAAACGCAAGAACGAAGAGGAGGGGAGGGTATTGACGTATCATTATTTATAGGCGTGTAGACGCAAACCATGCAATCCAGAATAATGGTAGTAGAGCCACGTTTGGCGCTGCCCATTGTATACCAGCACCATCGACCAAGGGGACATTGTTTACTATCGTATCATTCAAGCAATTGAGTAGAGCGGTGTCGAGCCCAGCGGGTAAAGGCGTGTCTGGCGTTCCCTCGTCTGCAAGCGCACCAGTATTGTTGTAGCCGTCAAACGTGAGGGCCACGCTGCTGGCACGGTAATACTGAACGGTTTGTTCTGGCTTGGGCAGACTGTCGGGGTCGAAGGCAGATGGCGTCGTTGAGCTATTGGCTGCAAGCGACGATGAACAGTTCCCTCGGATATCCTCGATCAGCGATGTCACGGTTGCATTATCGGACATCAAACGGAAAGTGTTGGTGCCATTTGAGCTTGATATGAAGAGTGCCGTGACCTCAATGCCGCCTGGGCGAGAGGAATTATCATGTCGGCCATACTACATCAGGCCAAGGTCAGCAAGTGCATGTTACACCAAAGAGTGACTGGTGTACTTCGTTCGTGTGCAAGTAAGCGCCGGCTCCGATACCGGCAGCACCTCCCCAGGCTACTGGCCAAAAGTAGAAGGGGAAGCCACGGCCTGCAACACCACGGCCGGCTACACCGGGGTACCCGCTGCCGTATTGTCTGTCCAGAGAAATTAGCGAAAGAACAGTGGTAGGCAACGAGAAGGGCGCGTACTGAGAACCGACGACTTGTTGTCTCGTCCCTCCGCCGACCGACCGCCCTGCGAATATTTGTCCGGCAGGTATTGATGTTACTCGCCCACCACCATTGCCAGCAGAACTTGCCCCACGAGTACCAGATCCTGTCGATACAGAGGACGATCTGCCACCAGAAGTACCTCCGCTGCTGCTGCTGCCGCCGCCTGAGCTTCTACTTGAGCCCCCAGATGAAGAACTTGAGCTGCCACCTTGGGACCCACCTGAACTTGACCCGCCGCCGCGACCACCACCGCCACCTCCTTTACGACGTTCAAGCTCTCTTTTTGACGCTCGTTTTGTGAAGAAGGGCACAAACATGCTGAGGGCGAGACTATCAGATAAAGTTTAACGGTTGATTGGGTTGATATATGAAAAGGTACACATACGACGCTCACTTTAAGTTCTGGATCCAAATTGCGGTGCCAGCTTGCGCTGAGAGTATTTCTCCGATTTCTCAGCCCATTCAACAGCAAAACTTACACAGCCCCCGAATCGACACTTTCGGAAATCTTGGTGAAGGACTCAGGGGTATCTGAAATTCACGGAGTCGGACTCCACTGACCAGCATGGCCGCGGCACCACTGCATCTTTCCTCTTTACCCCGATGACCAGCACTCTACCACCGCTGGTTCAGGCTGTTTCAGGCGCCATTGGCAGCGCATCTGCAAATGCACTGACATACCCCTTTTCTCTGGTCACTACACGGTTGCAGTTGGAGAAAGGGCACAGAAAGGAGACCGGATTGCGCCGAGCATTCCATGTACTATACGGAATATTTCGAAAGGACGGTTTAGAGGCACTATACGATGGTCTCTCAGCCGATACGATTGCAACGCTACTGTCGAAGTAAGTCTTTTGATCTTAGCATGAGCACGGTATATTGATTTTGCGGGGGCTATCTTGATAGTTTCTTTTACTTCTACTTTTATTCGTTTCTGAGATCGCTGGTCACGACGCGCCGTCTGAAGCTGAACCCGACTGCGCACCACAAACCCGGAAGCGCGTATAAACCCACAATAACGGAGGAGCTAGTGCTCGGGTTCGTCGCTGGTGTTGCTTCGCGGGCAGTGTCAATGCCGATGAACATTGTCACTCTGCGACTACAAACTGAACGAGGGGATAGCGAGACAGACGGCGATGATACCGCATCCGATTTCTCTGAAGGAGATAAAGTTACGCCTCCTAACAGTGAATCTGGATTGCGATCCGTCTTCGCTTCTATTTATCGTGAAGAAGGAATAGCTGGTTTCTGGAAGGGTACGTTGAATGACGAAGACTATACTCGGGCATATTTCGCTGACGGTTTGCAGGCTTCAGGTTGTCGATCCTACTATCTCTCAACCCGTCCATATCTCTGGCACTGTTCCAGTTATTCCGACGCGTCCTAGCCGTGGCGAGACGCACACCGACTTCTCATGCGCTGCCCAATGCAACCCCACAAGAAGCGTTCTTTGGTGGTGCCATCTCGAATTCGATGGGTACGCCAACGTCCTTGTCATCTGTAGCAAGTATCTGACATCTTGATAGCGGTTGCTCTGCTCTACCCTCTCCTGCTTGCTAAGACGCGGTTGCAGGCGTCGACTGCTGAATCTCTGCACGAGGTTATCGTTGATTCGTACACAGGTACCTACCACAGGCACCCTTCAAAATACGCTGGTAACTCGCTCCCCCCATGCGGCATCTCCAAGCCTCTAAAGCCTGGGTCTGGGAGGGTCTCCAATCTGTATCAAGCTCTTCCTAGTCGATTGGTGAAAGGCTTCCTCAACCAGGGCGTGACATTCTTGGTCAAAGGCAGAATTGAGGCGTTGATAGTTTATTTGTATTTAGCTCGGCTGCGTCGCCAATGATGATGGGATGCTAGGGAAGAACTTCATTCATGCCGACGACGTAGTCACAATGGCTTCCCGACCACATCAAAATGTATCCGATATGGTGTAACGGCTAACATTGCCGCCTTTCATGCGATCGCGGCAGCTCGGGGTTCGATTCCCCGTGTCGGAACTTTTTGGCGCTCACAACTGTATGGAGAATTCACACACATCAGACTGTGCCTCCTGTCTGCAGTGTCGCAGCTGCATCTTTTCTTTCATGACTCCCACTAAGCTCAAGTTCACGACACAAATATGACTGCCACGAATCCAACCACGTCCCCTTCGAATACCGTAGATTTGGAGGCTGCTTTTGATAAATTTGCGACTTTGTTTTCTCCAGCAACTCCACGCGCATCCCCCACGCAACAGGTGATCCCGCTCCCCGATGTTGAGTCGCGCAGCGCCCAAACGCAGCCTCATCATTCCCGGCGAGGACCGTCGACAGGTTCTGCAGATGATTTCGGTGCGTTCGTGTCTGTTCCTGCGGCAGAGGATCCTCTCGCAGCGTTCTCCACGCTGGATAGCCCAACGGTGGACCCTCACACACTCGACGGCATCGCAGGCTCGTCGAAACGTAGATCTGCTGGGCTTGATTTCTTCGACAAGTTTAGCCGCGATGCCAAAGCTGCTTCAGAGCGAAACAAGAAGGGGGTGCTAGATGAGTTATTGCAGCATGAGGATGATCCGCTATATTGGCTCAAAGATGCTAAAGAGGACCCGCACGCTGCCTTACCATCGAACGACACCGAGATACAGCAGGATGATGAATTTGGAGAGCTGGTCCAGGCGGGAAGTCCGAAAAGCTCGAGGGAAGAATCTCTTATTGATCTTGGGTTCGATGACTTCGCGCCTCTGCGGCAGATTGATTCTCGCTCGTCTGATACTTCAGTGGATCAGCCAAAATCTCACTCTTCATCCCCTACTCGCCGCTCAAATCGATGGTCGAGCTCTGTTCATCCGCCGTTGCACCATAAACGATCATCGTCGCTGCATCCGCCCACCCTTGCACCGCCCATTGCATCTACATCATCCGTTACATCTGCACCATCTCCGGTTGGAGGGCAACCAGAGAACTATTTACCCTCTGGATCACCACCTCGACCGATCCCCGTGCGTTCTCCATCATATCAGACTCTTTCGAGCCTATCGTCGAAGTGGATGTCTTCATTCATTTCGTCCAACCGTCCGTCCCCGCCTACTAATCCACTGGAATCCCTCTTTGCCCCGTTTTCTTCTGTCGCACCTTCTCATTCGACGCCTTCCCCGCATCAGTCATCCACTTCGCACACACCAGCGCTGCATCATGCGTCTACTCTTCCGTTTGCTTCTTCCTCCTCCTTTCCAGCAGTTCAAATATCTCACGGGACGCCCTTCGCTCCTCCCCCTCCAAACTCTACAACTTCACCATTCGGCCCCCACATATATATCCCGCCAACCGGTGCTCCTGGCTACGCCGGAGAGAGCTATGACTGGGACAAGGGCTTCTCGGAAGAGTTGCAACATGAACTATCGTTGGCTAGTGATATGAACAGCCAAGTTGCAGCCAAAGTGAACGGTAAAGGTGAAGACAACGTCAACGGCACGATCACTAGTGTGGGCGGCTTAATGGAGAAGAAGAGTGGGAGTATTGAGTTGATGGGGAGGTGGGGGTCAACCGACGAAGTACTTAGTTCGGGTTTGGCTGATCTTGTGAGCCGCCCAGTATTCTCCTCCGTGGTCATTTGTTGATCGCAGACAGATTCGACCACATCTTCCCGCTCTTTCTCGCCTTTCCCGCAAGTGGAATTTGGTTTACTCCCTTGATCAACATGGCATTTCTCTTAATACACTTTATGATCGGTGCGAGCGATTAGGCCAAACTAAGACCTCGACTGGCACTACAAACCGAGGTGCTTTGGTCGTCGTCAAGGATTCGGGTAATGTTGTCTTCGGTGCATGGATGGGGGAAGGCATCAGGATGACGAAAGGAAGAGGTTATTATGGAAGTGGGGAATCGTACGTATCCTGTTATCTGGGGTGTTCGTGGTCACTGATCCTCTTGCGTTCCA